CCTGATGAGCGTTGTACGAAAACTTGTTTGAATCCATATTTTTTCCCTACACCATTTCTTCATATTTTCATCGTTTTATTGCACATCATCTCCACCGTTTTTACATTGCATGAATAAAGTACACAAATGTCGGTTCAGCTAGTTTTATTGATTGCGGTTATCAAATTATTGTCTTCTCGCCGTGTGTTTAGATCTAAATATCGACAGTATAATTCTAAAAATGGGTTGCAGCACTCTACATAACCAACGAGAAATGTTGTACTGGAAAGAACCTGACACCGAAAGGATGGGACAGACAGGACAATCTTTCTTACGAATCTTCAGTTAACCAAACATTCAAGGGCGAGCTGAACCTAAGGCCTTAAGCGGCTTAGCCTCGTAGTCAATCAGTTCCTTCGACCCAACCAACCTATTAAGACAGGCGCATCATTTATCTTTAATTATTATACTTGGTCCGCGTCAGCGATATTGTCGCTTATCTTTCAGCTTTGTTTATATGTCGCCAATGCTTACTTGGCAGCCCATTTCATCCCAGTTTTGGTTAGCAAGTTAGTTTGCTAGTACCTGAAAGGTCTAGCTAGATTTCGAGTGGATTTCGAGAGCGACAGGTGGGTGATTCTGATTGATACAGCGCCGCATCAAAATAGATTATCTTGTTACGCTGTGAAGGCAAGAGCAGCGCATGCCACAAGAAAGTAATCGGCTACTCGGAATCAGCTCCATTTTGCTGAACGGCCGAGATCGCTCACCTCGGGGATCGCTCATCAAGCTGAGATCACAGATCCCTTACCTCCAGCTCCTCGCTCGGAGTATCCAGCGTGGAGATTTGCAAGTACATGTACTGTACGCGTCGTCGTCGTTCAAATTAAAATTTTGCAAAGAACGGCGTCTGATTTGAACCACACAGGCTGTCGTGCTGCCCAGGCGAAGTCCTATAGAGAAGGCGACCGTCACGATCGACTTCTCTTTAGAAAATAGCCAGGCAGCGGAGAGGAAGAGAGATGAGCTTGCAAAAACAAGAGAGTCGATCCCGAGCAAAAATAATTGTCGCCAGCGCCGAGAGCAGCGACGAGGAGGACCGAAAAAAGTAGGAACCCTTCCTTGGACAATAAATTCCTCGCAGCTAGTCGTCATTCTATACCTTACCGTCCATCGTACCAAGTTTTATCACTTCAAGTGCACGCGTTCATGTCCAAAGTCTAAGTTCAAATTGTCGAAAGATAAGCGACAATATTGCTGACGCGGACCAAGTAGAAGTATGATTATATGACTCGACATGACCTAACTTAGAGGTGTCGCGAAGAATGTGAAGGTTCTTAGCAATAATTGTCACGCTTTTTGGGTTTTCTCGCTCTTGCACCTTTGTGTCATTATTTCTATATGTAAAGGTCACGCATTTTCGCTGATAGTTTTAACTATTTTCTTCTTTGCACTGTTTAATCACCTCCTTACCGAACTTAATTTACTGTTCTTGTCCCCCTGTGTTTCACCTGATGAAAAGGCTTGAAAGTATACTCGTGAAACCGAGAACTGTCAAGATGTTCGCAAAGAGCCTGTGGTGTGTCCTTTTTCTGAGTATTATCGCAGTCTGGTCCCAGAGGAAACAGGAATAGAGTCTTGTCATTATACATTTTTAGCCGCATGCTGTGCATTTTTACCCGAATTCTTAACTTTCCCATCAGTCTTACATGTAGGATACGTCCGTAGAACAAGTCCGAAATGTGTAGGATGTAATTTACGTACGTGCAGAGCAGCAACAACCGCAATATTTCTGGCAGCGCACAGCCAGTTTTCCTTTTCCGATCCAGTATTTTTTTCAAGGATGCTTACCATTTCCGTGCCTTGAAACAATCATAGCTGATCCGAGCCGGTCTATTTTCCACATGAATCTGTCATAAGGCTTTGACTTCTGACGTCATTGACTTCAAGCCTTATTGTGATGTATTGTATGTGTGTTGAAAATCCATATTTCTCATTGGCTGCCCATATCAGAATAGTGAAGGGCTCAAACCTTTTTTGTGTTCTGGTATGTATTGCCTCTACAGAGTCGATGAGGCAAGGACTGAAGCAGAGACGGAAGATGACAATACACATTCGCACCAACTCCAATCACAACAAATTCAACGGCGTCAGGCTTCAGAAGGTGGGAGCTCAAAAGCCGATGTGCAAACTTCGCGTCCATGTGCGACAGATGAGAATCCGTTGGACCCACTTTCCTGTGGTGCCAGTTCGAATAGTCAGGAATGTGCTTCCAGGCGACTTCAGGATAGCTTAAATTATGATGTAGCATCAGTTGCACTGGCAGCTGGGAATCTCAGTCTGCATGAAACGAACTTGACGGTACCGAGCATCCATGCTGAGCCTGGATGTCCTCAGTCAGCACCAGTGCCGAATGCTGATCATGCTGGTCATGCACGGTGCTCTATGGACATATCTGGTGTGGAGGAAGAAAATGCAGCTGAAGAGCATTACCAGTTAGTGAATGAAAGCTCCAACAATCTTGAGGGCCTCGTCTACGATGTGTGGTCCTCGTCAATTCTGCCCTGCCTGGATGTCAGGTCAATTTTCCGCCTCTGCAGAGTGTCGAGAAAGCTACGAGAACAGCTGCTGACGGAGCAGACATTCAAGCTTCTCTGTGTGGTGAGTACTGGGTGTGAGAATAATGATGAAACATACACTAGAAAGGATATGATTGCACCGGATACTGTATAGCAGGAAATTTTCGGACGGAGATATTTTCGGACAAAGCCGAATTACGACCTTTCGTACGGATTATATTCTCGTACAGTGCTGCATGCTAAATACACGTGTTTGCATGTAGAACGCCTGTATAATGTACATAATTTCACATGAACAAATTTTAGTACGGAATTAATTTTAGTACAAAAGAAGCCGTGTACGAAATCGTACGAAAATAAATTCCGTCCGAAAATTTCCTACTATACAGTAAGTTGCACTCACATTTGGTGCAAATCCCATCATCCTTTCAAGCTAATGTACTTAGTCCGCGTAAGCAATATTGTCTCTTATCTTTCAAGTTTCAGCTTTGTTTTTATGTCGCCAATGCTCACTTGGCAGCCCATTTCATCCAAATTTTGGTTAGTAAGTTAGTTTACTAGTACCTGAAAGTTCTAGCTAGATTTCGAGAGCGACGGTTGGACGATTCTGATTTATACAGCGCCACATCAAAGTAGATTATCTTGTCACATTGCGCAGGCAAGAGCAGCGCGACGCACAAGAAAGTAATCGGCTACTCGGAATCAGTTCCATTTTTCAAAACGGCCGAGATCGCTCGCCAAGCAGAGATCGCAGTTCCCTCACCTGCAGCTGAAAGCTCGGATTATCCAGCGCATCGTGGAGATTTGCGAGTACTGTAGCCAACATCGTCAATCAAAATAAATCTTACCAAAAACAGCGACTGATTTGAACCACACAGGCAGTCGTGCTGCCCATGCTAAGTCCTATGCAGAAGGCGACCATCACGGTCGACTTCCCTTACGAATATAGCCAGCCAGCGGAGAGTAAGAGAGATGAGCTTGCGAAAGCAAGAGTATCGATCCCGAGCAAAACATATTTGTCACCAGCGCCGAGAGCAGCGACAAGGACTTTTGAAGGAGGACCAAAAAAGTATGAACCCTTTCTTGTACAATAAATTCCTCATGGACAGTTGTCATTCTGTACCTTACCTTCCATCATACGTAGTTTTATCGTCTCAAGTGCACGCGTTGATGTCCAAAATCTAAGTTCAAATTGCGAAAGAAAAGCGACAATATTGCTGACGCGGACCAAGTACGTTTCATAGCCCCTTCACTGCTTAGAAAGCTGTATAAATAGACATTGCTGTGCATGATCACATTCTGAGAATATGAACATGCAATGAGTTTAAGACGTCAGGCGAAATTACTGGTCAGTCGGCGACACGCATTTTTCACAAAAATTTGCGTTTCACCTGCTGGGAGAGTATGCGTGTACTCGAGTCTCATCCTGAGCACGTTTTTTCTTCTTTTTTTCAGCTCCAGTATAGCTGTATTTTTCATTGCAAAGCCGTCCTCGATTGTTGTGTTCGTTGTTCAAACGAAGTGAACATTCAATCATGAAGGCAGAGAGGACATAGGAGCCTGATTGGAGTTTCTCGTGGCATAGGACGGCCACACAGAGACACTTTGGGATTTTCTGAATATAAAATACCGTACGCACGATGCTGAGATCAATTTTTGCGATATCAAATTGTTTGTGATCTACCACATCGAGCAGAACGGGATCCAAACACAAGCTTACCAACGGTTAGGCTGCCGACCTGACTGGACAAATGATCCCTGGCTTCACCAGACGCCAGAAGTCGGACACCATGTCCTTTGCCGCGACGTCCTTCTCCAAAAAGAACTCCATCTTTGTCGTGAAAAGGCTTGAAATACTCAATATTCAACCGAGATTCGCGGTCTCACCCTTTCTCAGATCGAATCATTTTTTGTTGTAGCAGTTGCAGGGCAGATCCCCGCCACTACTTCTACAGAAGATGGCTCCAAAGCATGCCTGGAACAAGCCATATCGAGTTTGCAAGCCACCCCTCTCAGCACTTTTTGGAAGAAATTCGAAATTTCAATGGTGGAAGATATACTATGAAGAGAATTTCAAAAAGTATGTTTTAGCTTGTTTCACGTCGGAACTTTCAATGTTCGTGGACTAAATTCAAATTTGAAAAAGAATCAACTTATTTGTGACCTAACAAGATATGGAGCTGAACTCTGCTGCCTGCAAGAGACGAAAATCTCTCAGGGCTTCGATGGAATTATTGATAATTATCGACTCCTGTGTCTTTCGTCGACCTCTCGACACTATGAGAGAGTGACGCCTCTCAGCCATGGTGGTTCTGTTCTTGAACCCTATGGCCTATGTCTTTCGCTAATGAGCAGGTGGGTTTGAGGACCCGCAGTATTCTGAGTAGCAGTCGTAGAAACAAGAGTAGCTTGTTTCACGTCGGAACTTTCAATGTTCGTGGACTAAATTCAAATTTGAAAAAGAATCAACTTATTTGTGACCTAACAAGATATGGAGCTGAACTCTGCTGCCTGCAAGAGACGAAAATCTCTCAGGGCTTCGATGGAATTATTGATAATTATCGACTCCTGTGTCTTTCGTCGACCTCTCGACACTATGGACTTGGATTCGCCGTAAAAATAAGTTTACTGCCCCGAATTCACAGATACTGGAGTATCTCTGACCGGATCGCTGTGCTGCAGCTATGGCTATCCGATAGAACTCTGTGCTCGTTTATCAACGTTTATGCACCAACATCTGGACGCGTTGCGGAGGACCCTGCCTGTCTGGATGAATTCTACAACAGTTTATTGGAGACAATTCAGAAGCTTCGATCATCAGCCATGCTTTTCGTGATAGGTGATTTCAATGCAAAAGTTGGAAAACGTTCCGTTACAGCTACGGGGAGACATGATTTGTCGTGCTGCGGAGCACACTCAAGAGGCCGCCGCAATTACAGTGGACAGGTTCTGACTGACTTTGCGTCGGACAACCACCTGTTTGCTTGCAACACTGCATTCCAACACCGTGCGGCACATATCACAACATGGACAGGATGGCGTCACAACCCAGACGGTGGTTCAGCAATACCCATATACAACCAGATCGATTATATATTCTGTCGGAATAGTGAGCGTTCTGTGGTGGAAGATGCGAGGTCATATGCGGGGACAAAGATGGAGAGTGACCACCGCCTTGTCCTCGCTAAAGTCAACCTGACCAATCTTTACAAGAAATTGAATGCGCCATGCATATCAAGGGAGACCAATGACAAATTCAGTGTATCTGAATTCAGTGACTTGAGCAAGAGGGAGGCATACCAAGCGGCAATCGAGCGGGGTCTGGAATTGACATGCCGTGAGATGGACAACATGGGTGTTGAGGAGCATGCCCGGAAGATCACCGGCATTATGAAGGAGTCAGCTGCATCATCCATTGGCATAGTACCAAAAAGAAGAAAAGTACATACAAATGGCTATAACAATGCCATTGAACAGCTAGCCGAGAAAAAACGCAAGTTACGTTTGGATCTCACTAACTGCAAAGACGCTGGGAAGATTTCTGAGATGAAGCAAGAACGCAATCGCATTTCACACCAGATTCGGCGGGAATGCCTCAAGATGGCATCGAGCAGGCTTGATGAACGAGTGGGAGAAATAGGAAGAATAAAGAATGACGCAAAGATGTTCAAAGCAACCCAGCTACTCCGTCGTCAGAAACAATCACCGGTTATCGTTGAGGATGCTGAAGGCAAAATTATATCTCAACCTGCGGAATCGGTGGAAGCGGTCAAGGAACACTTCAGAACTATATTCTGCGACCAGGCACTAGCAACAACTATGTTGGAGAGGAGTGAAATGCCACTGAACCGATCCATAACGACTGAGGAGGTGTCCAAGGCTGCAAAACGTTTAAATAACGGCAGAGCATCCGGCCCCGATGGAATCCCGGCTGAGCTCCTGAAGTATGGGACGCAATCACTGCATGGTAACATAGCCACATTATTCAATAATTACGCTAAAGATCAACGCATCCAGCTTGGTGATGGTATATTGGTCCCGTTGCCGAAACCGGGCAAGAAGAGAGGTCCTCCTGCAAATTTGCGGCCAGTCACCCTTCTAAATACACTACGCAAGCTACTGTCTCTAATCGTATTGACGCGTATTAAGCCGGCAGTTGATCAATACCTCTCGCCCTGCCAGAGCGGATTTCGCAGCGGGAGAAGTACAGCGGATGCTGTGTACTCCTACAGATGGTTGGCAGCAAGATGCCAAAGAGTAAAGGAAGATATCGCCATTTTGGGAATTGATATGTCGAAAGCCTTTGACACTATTTCAAGACCAAAGCTCATGAACGTGCTGGAGACTATTGTGAACCGGGACGAATTACATCTTATTCAGTGCTTACTTACGGATACCACCATTAAAGTACGGCTAAACAACATCCTGAGCCAGCCACTTGAAACATACAATGGGACTCCACAGGGAGATTCTCTGTCGCCGGTATTGTTTACGATATACCTGGAAGCTGCGTTAAGAGAAGTACGAAACCGTCTACCGCCGCGACCAGACCGAGACGTCCAGCTGCTTCTGCCCGGAGAGTCGGAATATGCAGATGATGTGGACTTCATCAGTACCGACCAACAGTATCTAAAAGATTGCCTTCCTACAATATCCTCTTCGTTAGCAGAGTGGAACTTGAAGATGAATGAGGGGAAGACGGAACACACCATGATAAGCAGACAAAAGGATCGAATAGAGGAACAGTGGCGACACACAATAAAGCTGGGCTCGATGCTTGGAGTGGATGAGGACATAGGCAGACGAAAGCGGTTGGCTACAAGCGCACTTCACCGGATGTGGGTGATATGGCTGAGAGGGCAACACATCAGAGAGTCTCTACGAGTGCGCCTCTATAATAGCTTCATTCTACCAATCCTGCTTTATAACTGTGGCACGTGGAGTCTCACGGGGACACAGGAGCGGAAATTGGACTCGTTCCACAGGCAGCAGCTGCGAACAGTGATAGGCATTAAATACCCGCTCATAATAAAGAACACTTCCCTGTATAAACGCACAGAATCTCGTCCCGTGAGCCAAATCATCAGAGATGCTAGATGGAGGCTGTTTGGTCATGTGCTGCGTTTGGAAGAGGCAGCCCCAGCCAGACGTGCCATGGGAGCTTACTTCTTAGGGGGTAACGGCCCCAGCTTTAGGGGACGCCCAAGAACAACGCTCCCGCGAACGCTCAATAATGATCTCAAAAAGCTGAAAAATAATACCGCCCTAGAGACTGGCGATGACTTGAACATGCTGCAGCAGCTTGCCCAAGACCGTCGACAGTGGCGGGAACTGGTGAAGGCTGTATGTAGCTGCTAATGAAACAATGGACATAATTTATACCTTTATATATAGATAATGGAGATGACTGCAACAGGCTGCAGCAGCTCGCCCAGGATCGCCCTCAGTGGCAGGACCTGGTGAAGGTTGTATGTAGCCGCTAATGCAACAATGGACATAACTTTGCGTTTCCATCTTGTCTTTTTTGTGATTGTGATGCTTGATGTGCACTGTGCTTCCTCGCATTCACTTGCTCCTTCTTGCAGCTTGTCTCTTTTTTTTCTGTTTTTTTGTTTTTTGTTTTGTTTTGACGCTCTGTGTGCATTGCGCTTCCTCGCGCTCACTTGCTCCTTCTTGCGGCTTAAGCGAAGGCTATATGTGAGCTTTATAAGCTCACTGATGCTAACGCGAATAGAGCATAATAATAATAATGTTTTGCGGAGCGATCGCTCAACCTACGTCATTCAAACTTTGCAGGATGGTTCAGACGTACATGCTAGGCATGGAACCACAGAAGATGATATCATAGCTGACACACAGAGTCACACACACAGCAGATTCGTGTGCAGAGATACTAAATTAGTGGACGTCGTCATCTTCTTCCCGCTGATCTCAAATGTACTATGACGTGCTATTTCGCCTGACGGCCAATGTCTGTAACGACCCAAAATCACCGGACATGGCCAAATTTCCCCATTTCGCTCAAAGTTGGCTCTTTTATCCCTAGGTGGACCTCATACACCCACTATGACAGTTTGCTCCAGAAACCCTCTGTTCTTTAGATATTGACCAATATCAAAAATCGATAAAACTATTAAATAAAACGCCTTCAAACAAGGTAGAAGAGCAAGGGGTCACTGCTGCTCACAACAACACAGCGCAGCTAAACCAGGTATGTTCGCACACCGATCCAAGTTACCTAGTACTGTTTAGCCATCCAACTTTTGACTGGCGACTTGCTGAGTCCCTCAAACGAATTGATTGATTCAGCCTGTCCAATGGGGGCCCTTACGAAGGTCATCTTCAGGGACCAGTAGCAGCGGGATTACGTCCTGAAATTGGGGGTAGACCACCATCATAGTCTGCTACAACATGCCCCAAGCGCCAACAAGTGGTCCTGAATAAAGCTATCCACTAAAAATCATTTGGGGAAATATTCAAATTTTGAACTCTCCAACGGCAATGCGCGAGCCATATCCAACCTCGTTACAGGCAAGCACACAGGGAGGGTCTCAATAATACATCTGCGCTACGGTACCAGCATGGAGACATCATGGAAATAATCCCTGCCTTCGCAGAAACTCGAATGAAGGCGCCACAAAGCGTCACTTACTGAACAACAGCCTACATTGACTACTCCACGACAACAAATAGGCAAGGACTGCAACAGTAGTGCACGGTGGCCACGGTTGGGCCAGAATGTTCTCTTGTGCAAGCGAGTTTCACATGCGTAGGTCTGGCATGCTGCCATCAAAAAATTCTAATTCCTTGAGGTTAGGAGTATGTCCATACCCGAAGCCTGCACGGATGCAGGTTTCCTTAGAAACAAATCTACTGGGCTCTCCGACTTTCTCGCGACCAGCTGTACACTTATTGTTTGCATCGCTTAAACCTTTACTTTATTTATCTATTTCACTGATTCACTCAACGCCTGGTCCATGACCCATTGGCACACAAAGTGCGAGAGAGAGAGAGAGAGAGAGAGAGGAAGAGAGAGAGAGAGAGAGAGAGAGAGAGAGAGAGAGAGAGAGAGAGAGAGAGAGAGAGAGAGAGAGAGAGAGAGAGAGAGAGAGAGAGAGAGAGACAGAGACAGAGACAGAGACAGAGACAGAGACAGAGACAGAGACAGAGAGACAGAGAGACAGAGACAGAGAGACAAAGAGAGAGACATAGAGAGAGAGAGAGAGAGAGAGAGAGAGAGAGAGAGAGAGAGATAGAGAGAGAGAGAGAAAGAGAGAGAGAGAGAGAGAGAGAGAGAGAGGGGGGGAGAGACAGAGAGACAGAGAGAGAGACAGAGACAGAGAGAGAGAGGTGAAAGCCAACCTTGGTACATGTCTGTCATTTCTAATTTTCTTATTTTTTGTCCCATTTTGTCCCTTTTTCTATTTGTGCAGCTGCACTGCTGAGCTTCCGATGTAAAAGAAATATAATAATAATTTGAACAAATGGCGAGGAATAGCAATGAAAAATATCAATTGTGCACTCATAATCATGTATAAACAATTAAAATGAAACAATTCCAGAACGTTTTCGTGTGACCATCATCAGTGGAACATCGTCACATAGTAAGAATCACTAAACAACCAGTTATATAGCTAGAGTAACATGAAAAGAAGCGTGAGAATGCAGCACAGCTAGCGGTTATGCATAACGCGTGTAGTGTGAACCTTTGCAGTGTATCTGAGAATGGTAGCAGTAGATGAATGTGGCAGCTGTGAGTGCGTGTGAACAAAAACTGGTGAGTGCGTATTATTTAAAAAGTGTGAGTGCTACAACATTTTCTTTTTGCTTGCATAGAACAGGGTCACGTGTGCGAATATATACAGCTTCCAACACCTGCAACTGCTTAAAGAAACGCGCGCGACAAATAACACTAAACCAGGAATCGTCAAACAACTTACGACAATCCGGACTGGACACCAAATGCTTGTAGATGGCAGACTTGCTCTTGTCGATGTCGAACTCCTCCTCGTCCGTATCACTCTCATTGTTTATACATGATTATGAGTGCACAATTGATATTTTTCATTGCTATTTTACGACTGTTGTCTCCTCGTCGGTTATTTAAATGGCGAGGAGACAACAATTTGATAACCGCAATCAGTAATACAAGCTGGATCGACATTTGTGTACATTTTATTCATGTAATGTAAAACTGTGGAGACAATGTGCAATAAAACGATGAAAATGTGAAGAAATGGTGTAGTGAAAATGAGGATTCAAACAAGTTTTCGAACAACACTCATCAGGAATCTTCGTTGTACTAAAGGAAAATGAAAGCAAAATTGAACTATTATAGAAAATCTAAGTTAGAGAAATAACACTAAGAACAACAGCAGTGAAATTTACAAGTGTGAATTTTATCAATGGAAGCGAGAGCAATAACGAATGCGTGTACTAACACTAAACTTGCAACTGAAAAATGAACAAAGAAGAGAAAGGGACAAAGTGATAACAAATAACAGCAGTACATTACACCTAGAAAATTAACGGCCAAGCTTGGCCGCAAAAACATGACACTTTACTTGAACAATTTCAACCCAATTATACTATCCTTCTGTACACACAAATTAGGCTTATACAGACGTTGTCACTATTATTATTTTCCTTCGAGTTTTGTATCGTGCTGAACTTGATAATTTTCCACCTTGTCACGAGTGTTGTTATCTCATTATCTTTACGCTATATAAGTTTTAGTCTTTCCAACTTAAGCCATTCCCTGTATAATCCTTGATGAGAAGGGACCGAAAACGTTCGGATACTTTTGACAAATGCCTTATTGTGACTGGATGTGTGTTTGCGTGGATACTTGCGACCCAAAACTTACCTTGTTTTTTTTTAATAATAATAATAATAAATATGTAGTACTCAGATGGTGAGCCAATGAAAAATTGAAAAATTGAAAATGTGGGTTTGTAACTTGTGCCCACATGTTTCCATTTTAATCTTTCCAGGAAGATGACAACAAAAACGGTAAAATTAATTATACCTAACCATTGGTCAATGGTGCATGTGGTCAATGAGCCTCTGGCTTTACTTGTTGCCTATTTTGATACTTTGGAGCATTCATTATAAGATTCGCCAACTATGAGCAAAATTATTAAAAAAAATGTTTTTGAAAGTATATGTTCCAAGTGTATGTATGCAATATACTGTACTATGGAGCATGGTTGTTATCATTTGTCATTCTCGTGTGTTTGTTTCACATGCACAGCATCGCTACGGTATCAGCCCATTGTTGAGTGAATCATACATCGGCACCAGCAAAACATTGTATGTGGCCACATCCGTCGGTAGATTAGATTTGGCATTGGCTGATGTGACCAACAGTTTACCAATTTCGTTTCCTCTCCTTAAGGTGGTGCATGATATCCCACGTCCAGTCCTACGTGCCAGCGACGAAGAACTGGTAGTTTGTCTCCCATCGCTCTCTTCCGAGATGGCAAATTTGGAAATGGAGGAAAACTGCTTTCTGCGCGTTAGTATCCGACAGGTTTGCCTGGCACATCCAGAATCGGTAGTTAAGCACTTGCCAAACTTGAAGATAGAAGATATTGAGCAATCACCTCCATTGCCGATTCCTGCTGCAACGCGTTCCAACCTGGATGGTGATGTGCTCCTATCAAATACAATGCAGTGCTGCTCTGAATGGCCTCATCTCAGCGCTCTGTCAAGCCTCTCGTTAAAGCGCTGCGGTACACTAGAAGTCTATCAGACACATCTCATCAAGAAGATTTCACGGACCGTTTCGAACTGGGTGCCTTTTCTTCCCAATCACTATCGCGCTCAGAGACTGCTCGCAGTAGTTGAGGCGTTGTCGTGCACCGGTGACATTTTGCCTGAATCACTGGAGTGTCTGGGTATAAAACCAACTAACCTACCTGGTTATGAGTTCTGGTTTGCTATGGAGATCACCAAATGGCATACAGCATTGCAGCTGTACATCGTGAATCAGCTGGATCTGTCCCTGGAGGACTACATCACCGTCTGCCTGAGGCATCGGCGGTACAGAGATAAGCACAGGGTCTTTACCGTAGACGAATGGAGGAATTTTTACGAGGGCTTGGGATTTTTCCTGAGCGAAGTGTTGCATCGCAATCACAGCGAGAAGAGGGTCAGCAGGGAGGAGCTGTTTGAATATTTTGTACAGCACTGCCATGAGGGGGGCCACAGCTGCCTAAACCAAGCAAAAGATGGTTTTCCTGAAGAACGTGACTTTGCTCGCCAGCTGCTTGGACTAGACCGCCAAATAGGTGTGCGAACGAAGTTCGACAAGATGCTCACGCCACTGGTTGATTAATGAAGGACAGCGTGAACGTGCTTGACAGACACAATTCTTCATACCGTGATGTCTCAAAATATTCACGAAACCCCAAAGACATGTTTAGCTGACTGTGGCCCATATAGTGAACTGGCTTACTGGGCGAAGTGTTCCCTTCCTGCATGGGCTAGGACCATGAAGGAAGGTATTGTTTTATTGTGATGCCTAGCGGTGTTGCGGCATTATCTTTTTTTCGCATAATGTAGTAGCTAGCGCTACCCAAAATTTGTTATTCATGTTAGGTACATGTATGTCCTCCCGTACCTTTTCTAGCTGGCCTGCGTGCACTCGCGTACTCACGTTTTGTCTCCTTTTGTTCCGTTGGCCTGGGTAGTTACTTGCGCGCCCATAATGGCCATAGCTGCCCAGGCCCTTTATCTTGCCGTTGAGATTTGATCTCTTCCTCTCTTTTCTCACTCTTCAATGTAGTCGTTTCGTTCGTCTTGGTCTCTTGTCTCGTCGTCTATAATTAATGTCGTTCCCATTAACTTGTTCCCGTTGTCCTAATTCATACTCAACATTCACCATAAGTCTGGTGCATACTTTAGTCAGCCGCCTGTTTTGCTTTAGCATTGCTTGGAATAACGTTCCAGGCAAGATCCACTGTCTGCCCTCAACACTATTGAAGTCTCTGTTGTGACTGTGAGTCCACACTATTCGCACTACGTATTTGAGGATTTGGGGAAAGGATTCCCGCCCTTTTGCGCTTATTTTGTTTCTATTTTCCTCAGGACAGGTTCTGATTGTTTTAAAAGCTGTCAACTCTTTTCTGCTGTGTTCTCCTTCTTGCCATCCATCATAACAATAATCACACCCTCTCACTTTGTATTCTGTAGGAAACTCCCTTTGCCAGGCATCCTTTTGCCTTTGGAGAATCCTTCAAGTAAGGCGTCAAACTCATGATGCTAATCTGTTATAAAGCCCATTCAAAGGGCCAGATAAGTCAATGTTAATCTTTGATTAACGAAGCAGAGAAGCGACCTTTTACTCCATGATGTACATTGGTGCATTCTTACCCTTACCCTTTCTGTAAATACGTTTCTGCTGTTCTATGCCCTTACGTCGGAGCTTGCTTACCATGTATTGTTCTGCTTGCCATGGGGCATGCTCACCATCTCAGTTCTTAGCTTCAGGAAAGTCCCATTTTGGGCTCCTTGTTAGCCGAAGCGATAGGCTGCTTTTATGCTTCCCCGTTTAAATGACATCTCTCCTAAATCTACTACCAACACAGACTGGTTGAGACCGCATGACAGAGATGAATAAGTGATGGATATGGTGATGCTTCTAGTGCATTGCCAATGCCTCTGCATATCTATCGCATTGTTTTTCTCCGCCCACATTTAAACAAAGGTCCTTGCCAGACTCAGGCGCGTCCCAGTCAAGCTACTCCGTAAAACGAATGGGTTTCTATCGCTAGATTCTTTTCCCACGTCATGGAATTAGTGTTATAATGATCAGCTTGTTGTTGTAGTTGTTGAAATTATATTTTGTATCGCAGACCAAACGGGCAATGGTGCCCAATATTATGAGGGCGATAAAGTAACGGCCAAAATCCAAGGATACAACAAGCAACCCTCCACGAAAGAGAGAAAACACAGACTGCAATTACTCAAAAAGAATAAAGAAGAGAAGAAGAAGAAAAAAAGTACAAGTACAAGGGAAATAGGAAAAGGAACAAAAGACAAACATAACGAAAACAAAAAAGCACAGTTGAGTCACAGTTCTCACTCTCACCGTGGAAATCGCCTAATACGTACCCTGATAAGTGCAAGATAAGGCCTTTTTCGGGATCGTTGCTTATTACTCATCTCCAGGAGAGCGAAACTGGACAATCAACAATACTCATATGGCCGATTGGTTGGCAGGCTTGCCTGAAAATCATGAGGTCCTGAGCTGAGTTCGAGACTCGCGCCCGTGGCAGGGAGCGTGTAAATATTTTTATGGACCGTGAACTACGCCGACACCCACAGTCAACTGGGTGCTCCCAGGATTAGACATGACTGTAACAAGGATGCAGTTCATGGGGTTATGGGCCCGATTGGTTGAGAGACTCACCTCCTCTCCCCCGACTCATTCGTGAGGTCTCCATATATATATTTATGTATTTATTTTATTTCACCTTCCCGTAGCCAGGGGATATAGGCTAATATGGAGAGAGGGAGGCGATAGCCAGCCATGGCAGTAAGCAAGAACAATGCAAAAACAATGCGGTGTTGTCGTTGCTATTATTCCTCTTGCTAAAGCTTCAGTAAAATTCTACCTTTTCACGAGAGCTGTATCTCAGGAAATTTTCCCTACAGAAGGTGTAGTCATTTGTTTCTTCATTTCAGCTATTCCCTTATTAATCCTGAAGATAAAAGAACGAAAACAATAATTTTTATACCTTATGTGAAGTGTCAAATTGTGTGGAAGCATGCAAACTTAAAATTTTGTTCTAGAATTAGTTTAATTTTTCGCTGGATTCGCGTTCGTATCGTTTGAATATTCAGAAACACAACTAGCCTTCGCATCCGCAGGCCACCGCTATGCCTGTTCACCTCAGTGTCGTTCAATGTTATTGTATGAGCTGGTTGTAAAATAACAGGTGGTGTTTGGTTCGGTTTGCTTTGGTTTTTATTATTTCAGTTCGTTGCCTCAACCGTACAAAGTATAAAGTACATCAAGAGGGACAAACGAAAAGAGGTGTTAGGGGATTTTAAAGCGTACCTGTAGCTCTTTGGTCCTCCTTTCTTCTTATCAATTCATCCTGGACTCTCCACCCAAGTATAACACCACAGTGAACAAAATAATTATGTGTCATTGTTCACACCTCGACGAGAAATAGCGCCAAACAATTGCAGAGACAACACATTCAGAATATGCAGTCGATATGAGAATGGTAGCACTCCCAGCTGCCGCATTCATCTACTGCTACCATTCTCATATCCACTGAATAATTTCACACTACACGTGTTATGCATAACCGCGAGCTGCTGCATTCTCACGCTCCTTTTCATCTGATCCTAGCTATATAACTGGTTGTTTTAGTTTTTCTTACTATGTGACGATGTTCCACTGATGATAGGCACGAGAAAACGTTCTGGAATTGTTTCATTTTATTTGTTTTATACATGGCTATGAGTGCACGATTGGTATTTTTCATTGCTATTTGAAATAACACGTCACCAACCATTTCACGAGCAAGAAAGAAATACGGCATCTCAACCTTGCCCAGGTTCTTGTGCCACTTTTAAACAGTACGAGTAGTAGAGGTGGGGGGGGGGGGGGAGCATCTACAGTATAGGTGTCTTTTGTTGTCACGTGGAACTACATTGTACAGTACAGGAGGCTCTGGAGTACATGTAGCAAAAAAAACACGCTTTTTCCACAAGCAGAGTCCTTTCGGAAACAAAGCATGGTTCTTGCCATGCGTAGTGCTAGTGGTGCATGCTCCTAGTACTAAACGGTAGGGTACATCACTATACTGTATACATTTCCTAGCAAAGTGTGTGACCCCCCGGGGGTTATGTACTCTTGCCACTGCTAGCACTAGTCATAGGGAGACCAAGCTCCCGCACCTTTTAAATTGCGCACCACCGCATTTTCTTTGTTCAGCCACTGAACTTCAGGAGCTCTGCCGGGCCGCGTAGGTCTTGCGCCTCTTCGTCAAAAGCTACATCATTTTTTTCTTAAGCGTCTTATACGGGCAATCACAGAACATGATTTCACTGGCCTGACCGCGGCAACAACTGCAAAGCAAAACAAAACAAAAAATGTAAATAAAAATAAAATGAAACTTTACAATCTGCACACAATGATAACTCCATTTTTGAGATAGTCTCTGTTGATCAGTCAGTATCCGTTACCCGTGTTAGCTAGTTGCCAACAAGGCGAGCTTCAGCAACAGGAACATCTGGAGAGGCGTCATCCATCCCCCTATGCCAGGGAAATGGTGAGCGAGCCCCCCGCAGACACATGATGTTAGCACGCAGCAAAGCAAAGGCCAGCCGGCTCCGGATAAGCGAGATATGGGTATGATACCCAACTGATCCACGCTCCTTCGTAAGGACAACCAGCCACCGATAGAATGCAGTACCTGCACGGCCCATACCACCAGTTGTTGCCAGGACAAGTGGAGTGAAACTCGACATCTCCACCTCTCGTACTCGTTCAGCATAATCATCATCATCATCCTGCGTGGTACAATCGGTCAAGCGTAAAGCGTGCGTGACGACTATTGGGACCCCAGAACTCGTACACATTTGACGTCACGACTATTTGGACCCCGGAACTCGTACACCACTGAGTCAGCGACTCGACGGTCTATTCTCTGTGGTAAAGTGTTGTTGCGTAGTGAGCGCTGTGCTTTTAGAGCTTTACTTTTAGGCAAGTCAATTTTGGGAGCTGATGTGTCACTAGGTCATATGGCCATAGGGAACACGGAGCACGACCTTCGCAAGTATTACTACTAAGTACTAGCAGTACAGTAAGATCGGGCGCCGAAGAACACCTCGCCGAAGAACACCCAGGCTGGAAAACCGGCAAAATTTAAGAACAGTCCAGGCTAGAGTTATCAGATTTAAGAACACTTTTAAAATTGTATACATTGTACAGTGCGTATCGGTTATAGCGTGGTCGTGTAAAAGAATATACTGCCTACAAGAATGAACCCTCATGTTTTCATAATCATAACATGGATTTCAAGTGCACATTTATTCTTACAAGCAATTTTATCCAATAGTAGAATATATCGGTCCTAAGAATGGACTTTGTGTAGCGAAACATGCCAGATTAGTACAAAGTGTATCACCTGTAGTAATAACATCTGTCCAATTCCGTTCTGATGTGACTCTCGTTGCGTCGTAGTGCTGCAGATTCAACTGTTGTGGCCATGTAACTCATTTTGCCTAGCCACATGTAAGCTTATGGGACTATGACCACCCACACGGACAGAAGTACTGCGTTGCATTGAACGATGATCTTCCTGCCCCTGCGCACATGCATATGATATGCCACACTTGATTTTATCGTGTGTAAGAAATATCGGAAATAAGAATAGAAAGTCGTTTTTCAAACACCCACCCTATAACCGATACCTACTGTACATGTATGGGAGGTGAGTACATGTCATGTACACGTGTAAACAGTAACTGCTACATGTACAGTCATTCCCATTTACGACACCCACTAGTTTAGAAGTAGACTCTACTACATTGCACTACATGTACATGACAAACGTCATGACGTCACTCGACTCGCCGCGCGCGTGGGAATAAGAACGGTCTGGCTAGAATCAAAAATTTAAAAGAACTTTCCTAGGCTGCGCTCGAGCCCCTGCGTTCTTCGGCGCCCGATCTTACTGTACACATGCAGTCGAACATCGAGTTTTGCTGCAGTGGCTATATTATTACTGTTTTACTGGATAGCACACGAGTTTCAGTCGTTTTCTGTCCAGAGAACAGATGGCCGCTCTATAACGTTATTCTCTAGATTTACAAAAACTGATGTTGCAGGCCCGCCGTAGATAGCTACGTACAGCAATTGTCGAAGCGGAAAGAAGAACTCCAGCAAAGGATCGAAGGCTCTCACTGCCACAGACGTAAGGTAATCTTGATGAATGAATTGCGTTTACAAAATTATTGTCAAGCAAGTTTTTATTGTCATAATTATAATTGAAGAAAGTACATGACTGTATGGGCTTACCTGGTTTCCTCTAGGTTCGTCAGGCTTGACGATTGCAGTACAACTGCTGCTGTCAGAGAGAAGATGAAGAAGAGGTGAGCTGGCATAATATTATTTCAGTGAGATCAACTGACGGTCTTCCAAGACTCAGAATGCAACCAGAAGGAATACAGTCTCGTCATAGCAACAAGGAGGAGAAAATTCGCTCTAAGCTTTTTATATATCGCCATGCATGAGTAAAAATGTTATACGATGATTGCAGGGCACACAACGAAAAGGAAAGAGAGGATTTGTTCAGAACAATATTCTTGTTACTTCCTCCGGAAACAAAAACTTCGTGACTTTTTCACTACTTTTCGCTGCTGTTATTTCGCTCTTTCTCACTGGTTCTGTCAGCCTGAAACACTGACATGACATTTCGGAATCGTAGGAAAGCATGATTCATATTCTGGAGAGCCGACAGTCGTCGCAGAGCAAGGGTGTCGACGCTGCAAACAAAGCAAAGCGAACATGTTTTTCATTTTCGTCCACCAGGCGCAATACGAAGAAAAGCACTGCGCTCACTGCCCGTCGTTGCTATTTTTTTGTTCAGACCTTGAGAGAGCAGGACAATGGCACACAGGGGCAAGAAGAGCGGAAAATGAATAGCAATAGCAGCTAGCGTTTTGAAATCTTCGCCATCCCCGAAACGCCTGTCGGCATGCGAACAGGTCGGCAAGGTGTCAAAACTCCAAAACGCAGAGATGTGACAATCGTCACTTCGCGCAGCAGAGCAAGATGAACACGTTCAAAATAGAAGTGTCGTTCCGCCACTGCAGAGCCCAGACCTCAACGTTACGTGGATGATCGCGCCTTTTCCAGCAGCCTTGACGATGTGTCCTTGGTCGCAAAGGAGAACAGGCGAGATGTGATCGGGGCAGTCTGAAAGTGCTGGTACGAGGAAATTTTTGAAATGTCCGGCTTTGCCTGTGTTTGTTGTTCCGGGGCAACCTCGAGCGAGAGCGGAGGCGGTTTTGAGTACCAGCACTGCAGCGCCATCTTGATCTCCGCCGAGATGTTGGAGAAGGCATTCAGATAACAGCGAAGACGATCAGGGACGCGGAGAAGCTCCTCCGCGACATACGACATCGTGTCGATCGACCTGCCACTTGCAACGGTTTGAGCGGTGATCAGACGAGCGATGGCAACCCAGACTGAGACTCTACTCCCACTAATCGATCCTGTAGATATTGTGGATATGTGGATTGAATGTGTTGAAGTGTTTCTCCTCCAAAAGAACACTTCTGTTGAGCACAGTAACTCCGTGAAATGTCATGTAAAAAAGTCACGAAGTTTTTGTTTCCGGAGCAAGTACATTCATCAGTGAATCTACGTAACAATGGAATGATAAATACTTGAAACAACTTTATATGTTCAGAAAGTGATGGACATCATGCAACTGCATTGTAAATGATATGGAGTTTGTCAACTGACAACGCTCTATTTAGTTGCTGTTCACTCTTGGCGCATGCGCTGGATGAAAATTCTTTTATTATTCATGTCGAAATATAATTGACATTTCGGGCCAGTCACCGGAACGTAAATAACTTTTCGACATCATTAATAAGAGAATTTTCATCCAACGCATGTGCCAAGAGTGAACAGCAACAAAATAGAGCGGTTGTCAGTTGACAACCCCTCTTATATTCAACTTTATATGGACAAGTAAAAGCGAAATGAAATGATAAGATGTAAAGAGGAAAGGACGTACAGTCAGTATCGCCTATAGCGTTGGTGTTTGATTTTGAGCATTTTATCACTATAAGCGATATATTACTATGACCGATACTGCATGCAATGTATGCGAGTGGGGTGTCAAACGACTCAGCGCGCCGTGCACATACGCACTACATACATGTACAATGTCATGTAGCTGGCTGTAGCTCCTGACACACAAAATCAGCATTTCCTCATGATGGAGGCATATTTCGGCAACTTGTACGAGCAAAACTCACCAAACAACACTCACAGGACAAGTTCTTCACGAAGAAGTAACACCCTTTTCTCCTCTGACATCGCTTGATTTTACATCAATCACTATAACCGATGCAAAAATAATGTAATAAAGGTCTTTTAAAATATGAATTTGATCACTATAGGCGATATTACTACTATAGACGATTATTACTATGCGCGATAACTGTGTATACTTAGTTATGGAAAACGGAAATGAATTTGAGAAATTGATCACTATACCCGGTATATTACTATAGCCGCCAACCTTATAGGCGATACGGACTGTACAAGTTACGAGTTCTGACTAACAGTCCACCAAGGCAACGAGATAATACAGTCAGGTAGTGTGACAACAAGGCACAAAACTGAAATGGGATAGTCATAACTCGTTACTTATACATGTAGGTTCTCTTTACATTACTTCCTCCGTTAACAAAAACTTCGTGATGGATTTTTGAGGGACTGCTGTGCGCACAAACTGCCGTGAAATGAGTTGCGATCACTTTCTTGGCCTTCCCTGGCATGCCATGAAAGAGGTACGATGCATGGAAAGCGACCTTTCACAACAAGCCGAGCGAAATCGATGGTTGGGCTGTGGCAACATAGGTGATGACAGTCATGGCGAGCGAAACTGATTTACCACTTCACCGAGGGGATATAGCGCTGCTTGGCCTCTCTACTACTCTAGCACTGAGTGTGAGAGTGATAGAGAGCAATGGAACGGAGCAGCGAGCCCACACAATGAGGGAGTGAACAAGGAGCTGCTCCGATCGAAAGGCGCAATGAAATAATTCTGAATCCAAGTTCTTGTTCAACCTGCTCAAAGCCCAGATGCGAATGCTGATGACCATGTATTCTTTCAGAAGTCTGCAGTCCAACACAAGTCTCGTAGCTAAGGAAAGTCGACTGGACTTGGTAGCCGCTGCCGCTCAGCGCTGGCAGGAGTATCAATCAGAGAAAATGGAATTAATTTGGCTATGCCTTTACTCCTCGTGTCGAGGAGTTCTGGAGAGCGGAGATGAAACCAGGGAGGCGTAAACTATTTTTACGACTCCCTGGTGGAAACGAGTAATCACCATCGCGGCTGATCACGCAGCTTGAGAGCCAACTTACTTGAACGACGGCGACATCAAGTTCAGTGGAGTGTGATCAAAGAAGCCGAGGCCAGGCTGAAACAAGTTGAACAACGACTCGAGAGAGATGACGTACAGCAGATGACGACAGCGAAGTAGGGTCAAAAATGAGTCAAGCGAAAGCGACGCAAACGGAACTCTCTGTTCATTCCGCCAACAAGTTCTCTTGCAAAGACGCTGTCCATAGCCTGAACTACCTTCGTTCAGTGATTTGCAGTCGATACAAACTGTTCTTGACTTGTTCTAAGCGTTTTCTTATCCATCAAAATCCATCACGAAGATTTTGTTAACGAAGGAAGTATTACTATTGGCTCAATATCCGAGTTTCAAAATTGTACTTGTAAGAATAATAATAATAAAGAGGTGATAATATGACACCACATCAAGCCTTGTACTACATGAAGACAGCGAGAAATACTTCAGCAACCATCATAATGCACATAATTATGAATCGCACCAGCACAAGCAAAAACAAACCATGAACAGAAGGGGAGAGAGTGTGGAGGGGGGGGGGGGGGCAATCAACATACCATACTAACACAATACTACGTGAAAATATTTAGAGTCATAATGTTCTGCTGGCACAACACTGGCTTTTACTAGTGTATGAAAATGGCTTCTAAAACGTTCAGCTGCATAACATGAGCATGACTCGCACGACACAACACTTGCTCTGGTGCAATTCATGCGTGCATTCTCCTGGCTGCTGAAATATTTCTCGCTATCTACATGACACATGTCGTACAATGCTTGAAGTGGTGTCCTATTATCACCTCTTTTGCCATTTAATTTCACTTTTGCTTCTCCCTATAAGAATTGTTTCAAGTAGCTCCCATTCCATTGTTATGTAGATTCACTGATGAATGTAACAAGAAAACTGTTCTGAACAAATCCTCTTTTTTCTTTTCGTTCGGTGCGCTGCAATCAACGTCTAACCTTTTTACTCATGCATGTCACAGACATAATTATAGGAAATGCTTACAGCGAAACTTGTCCACCTTGTTGCTCTCCTCGAAACGTACGTTTACAGTCTTGTCACTTTTTGAAAATTTTCACTGCATACTGTCCATTTTTTATCCAAATTACTATGAAAAAATAACTTCCCCATCAGTCACACATGTAGAACACGTCCATAGAACATGTCCAAAATGTATATTTTAGGATATAATTTACGAAGATACAGAACTACAAAGACCGCAACAATGCCGGCAAAGTACCGGCAGTTATCTGTTTTTGATCCAGTATTTTTTCAAGGATGCTTTACATTTTCGTGCCTTGACACGATAATAGCTGATCCGAGCTAGCCTTTTTTTCCTTTTAAATTGTATTTGTCGTGAGGTTTTGACTTCTGACGTCGTCGACTTCAAGCCCTGTTGTGATGTGTTGTATGGGTGTGGAAAATCCATATTTTCTCATTTGCTACCCATACCAAAATAGTGAACGACTCAAGTCTTACTTGTTCTGTGTTGTGGTATGTCTTGCCTGTGCAGACTCAATGAGGCAGGGACTAAAGCAGAGATGGAAGATGACAATACACATTCGCACCAACTCCAGTTACAACGTATTCAAAACCGTCATAACTCGGAAGGTGGAACCTCAAAAACCGATGTGCAAACTTCGAGCTCATGTGCGACAAATGAGAATCCATTGGACCCGCTTTCCTGTGGTGCCAGTTCGAATAGTCAGGAATGTGCTTCCAGGCGACTTCAGGATAGCTTATATTATGATGAAGCATCAGTTGCACTGGCAGTTGGGAGTCTCAGTCCGCATGAAACAAACTTGACGGTACCGAGCATCCATGCTGAGCCTGGATGTCCTCAGTCAGCACCAGTGCCGAATGCTGATCATGCTGGTCATGCACGGTGCTCTATGGACATATCTGGTGTGGAGGAAGAAAATGCAGCTGAAGAGCATTACCAGTTAGTGAATGAAAGCTCCAACAATCTTGAGGGCCTCATCTACGATGTGTGGTCCTCGTCAATTCTGCCCTGCCTTGATGTCAGGTCAATTTTCCGCCTCTGCAGAGTGTCGAGAAAGCTACGAGAACAGCTGCTGACGGAGCAGACATTCAAGCTTCTCTGTGTGGTGAGTACTGGGTGTGAGAATAATGATGATACAAGTACATACACTAGAAAGGATATGATTGCACCGGATAAGTTGCACTCACATTTGGTGCAAATCCCATCATCCTTTAAAGCTAATGTACTTAGTCCGCGTCAGCAATATTGTCGCTTATCTTTCAAGTTTCAGCTTTGTGTTTATGTCACCAATGCTCACTTGGCAGCCCATTTCATCCCAATTTTGGTTAGTAAGTTAGTTTACTAGTACCTGAAAGTTCTAGCTAGATTTCGAGAGCGACGGTTGGATGATTCTGATTTATACAGCGCCACATCAAAATTGATTATCTTGTCACATTGCGCAGGCAAGATCAGCGCGACGCACAAAAAACTAATCGGCTACTCGGAATCAGTTCCATTCTGCAAAACGGCCGAGATCGCTCGCCAAGCTGTCTGCATGAGAGAGGGGTTTGAAATGCCTGCAATAAATTGATATGTAAAGGTGAGAACTATCACACTACTCCCCTTCCATTCAATTTAGTTCTGAAGATACTGCCTCAACGGCAAGATTGGTGATCCAGGTTCATCCATCAAGTAGGTTGCAGGCTCCCAGGTCGGCTCATCGTAACCCTTCCATTTTACCAAGTACTGCTGCTTTCCGCGGTGAATTCGATGAGAAGCCACTTCTTCGACAATGAAACGCTCATTGCCATCAAGGTCAATTACAGGTGGTGGAGCTGGTGACTGAGGATTGAGCTCATCAGTAACGAACAATTTCAGTGCAGCTGTGTTGAACACCGGATGGACACGACATGTTCTTGGAAGGTCCAACCGCACAGTCGAGCCAAATGTCTTCTTGACTGTAAATGGACCGAACCAGCATGGTCTCAGTATGGCGCAAGGCTGATCTCGTGATACTGACTTGGTTATATAGTCCCTGTGGACCATCACTTCATCCCCCACCTTGAATCTAGAGTTCCGTCTTGACCGGTTGGCGTAGAACTCTTGGCTTCGGATTGCATCCTGGATGCTGTCCTTTGCTACTTGCAGTGCCGACTTCTGGCGAATGACCCAGGGTTGCGCCTCATGGCAAGTTGAAACCTCCGCCTGGAGAAGGGCGTCTGCAGCAGATCACGGATGTTGGTCGTAGTTTAAATAGAATGGAGTATCACCTGTAGATCCTTGAACCATGTCGTTGTAAGCAAACTCGCATATCGGCAGAAGTTCCTCCCAATTAGTCTGCCGATGGTTAACTGCTGAACGTAAGATTTGACCTATTGTCCGATGCACTCGTTCCGTTGCACCATCAGTCTGCGGGTGATTGGCAGTTGAAAAGTCGAGGCGAACTCCCAGCTGCTTGAAGACATCACGGTAAAGCTCGGCAGTGAAACGAGGATCACGGTCGCTCACAATGGACTTACTGAGACCGTGTAGGCGATAGACATTGCGCATGTACAGATCAGCCACACCCTGTGCGTCTATAGAAATCTTAGTGGCAACGAAATGGGCTTGCTTAGTCAACCGATCGATGAAAGTCAGAATCGCATCATTACCCTGCGGTGTAGTTGGAAGGCCGGTAATAAGATCCATGCCAATGCATTCCCATGGTGCTTGTGGTACTGGCAACGGCTGGAGACGATTCTCCCTTGGTTTGTCTCCCTTTGTACGCTGGCATGTTCGACATGCCTTCACATACCTTGCGACAAATCTTCCCATTCTTGGCCAATAGTACCTCCGAGCAAGTCTCGCATATGTTCGGTCACGCCCTGGGTGTCCCGCTGACAGGCTGTCATGACAGAGGTTGAGCCATTTTCTCCGCAGTGGTCCAGCCGGAATGCAAATCCTCCACTCAGGGTCATACTTCAAGTAGAGCTGCTTGCTGGAGGCGTCCCAGTGGTAACGCTGCTGCAGCTGCTCGTCCCGATCATTCAATCCGGTGATAATAGTGCAGCAGAATTTATCGGCTGCATAGCCGCTTGCTAACAGATCTTGGAACTGTTGTTCTTGCCGTACGGTTACCTCAACGCTGGCGATAGACCGGGACAATGCATCTGCGATGTTCTCCTTGCCGGGTCGGTGGACAATGCTGAAATTGAAGTCTGCCAGGAAGTCAATCCACCTAGCTTCCCGTTTAGACACGTTGGTCTTGGTGCCTAGATATTTCACACCTTGGTTGTCTGTGATAACTTCAAACCGTTCAAATAGGTATAGCTTCCATACTATCAAAGCGTGGACGACAGCTAGCGTTTCTCTTTCCATTGCTGTGTAGTTTGCTTCTTCTGGGCGTAGTCATCTGCTGGTGTAGGCAACTGGGAGCCAATCACCATCTTCCTGTTGAAGTAAGACACCACCAATGGCTGTATCGCTGGCATCCGTCACCACACGGAACGGTTGTGCAACATCAGCCAAACGCAGAACTGGTGCAGATACAAGTGCTTGCTTCAGCATGTCAAAAGCATTCTGCTGTGCTGAACACCATACAAAACGGGAATGCTTTCCAGTAAGTGTTTCCAAAGGCCGTGCAATTGATGCATATTCCTTAATGAATCGCCGGAAATAATTGGCGAAACCCAGGAATCGACGGATTTCAGGAACAGACTGTGGTGGCGACCACTCGTCAACAGCTTGCAGCTTCTCCGGATCAGGACCGATTGTCTCTCCAGAAATGATGTGTCCAAGGAACTTCATGGACGGAGCTGCAAATTCGCACTTGGCACGCTTGCAATACAGCTGAGCTTCTTCCAGTGCGGACAGGCCACTGTCGAGATGCTTTAGATGCTCGGTCCACGTCCTGCTGAACACGAGAATGTCGTCCAGGAAGACTACGACGCACTTCCGTAGGAATGGACGGAGGACATCGTTCATCAGGCCCATAAATGTTGCTGGTGCATTTGTCAAGCCGAACCCCATCACACGGAACTGGTACTGGCCGAACGGGGTGTTGATTGCGGTCTTTGGTATATCTTGCTCTCTAACTCTGACTTGGTGATAAACCGACATTAGATCCAGCTTTGAGAAATACTTTGTTCCACGTATGGTATCAAATTGATCGTCGATATTTGGCAGACAGGCTTGCATCTTCACGGTAATGTTGTTCAGAGGTCTCCAGTCGCACACCAGCCTCAGCAAACCGTCAGCCTTCTTAACAAAGAAGACAGGTGCGGCATACGGTGATCTGCTGGGTTCGATGAAGCCGTGCTTGAGCAGTTTCTCCTGCTGTTTCTGCAGTTCTTCGAGTTCCGGCTGTGAGAGACGGTACGGAGGATATCTCAGACCGTTCATTACAAAAATGGTGTACATTATACAGATATGAGGCAGAACACACAGCCGCATTTATGCATTGCATAGTTATTATATGGGTTGCAGAATAATCTGAATGTCCAGAGAAAGGATCACAACACTGTGACCATCAGCACACAGGTCACTGACAGACCAGACCTGAAGGACCGCGTGACCCCAGAAGACTACGTTTGTTGCAGCTGTGTACGAGGGAGACTTCATCATCATAACCCTGACTTATACTGCAGGATTAGCCATACGGAATATGTTTCATGTTGCCGAAAAAGGTCGACCTGTAGAGAATAATCAGGTCATAGAAAATACACAATTCCAATTCCAATGATCACCCAACGTGTGGACAGAACTAGTTCGTCCTTTGTGGACTCATCAGCGCAGCACAGAGGAAATGAGGCCCAAGCCGATGGCAATGAAAAATAATCGCAATGATCATTCCCGTGCATTTTTATATCTCCCACATTGATTTTAGTCCACATGTGATATTGATACTGAACACTGAGCAAACATCAGAAGGACTTGAACTGGGCATGATGTACAGTCACGTACATGTTCATGATTGTACAATGTGCATCACTGAACTCTAATGAACACTCAATCTTCAATCACATTATACATACCTGTCAGGATGGGCATTCTTTTTCTTATTCATCCTCGTCTTCACTGAGTTCTGCAGTTACTTGAAGCTCCAGTGGTTGCCCATTCTCACACTCCTGGCCCGAGTGAGAGCACTTGCAAGCATACGTGCAATTGAGGTGCTGTCTCCGGCAGGAGCAATGTCCGTGCTTGCAGCCTGTCGTGCAACCGCATGAAACAAATTCCATCAGGCTCGATGGTGCTGGTGCCAAGCTGAGCCAGTCCACTTCCAAACCACCGCCACAATCAATGGTCCACCCTTGACCAGGGCTATGCGGTGGTGGGACATCCGCGGAAGCTTCCAGAGCACGGCGCCAGATACTGGCCTGGTAATTTGCTCTTGCAGCATGCTTGAGCAGCGCATCTTGGCAAGGAGGAAGGGAGCTGGATTGCGTCGAGCGAGAGCAGAACATCTGGTATCGTACTTCGTTGATAGATGTGGCGGTGTTGAAGCCGTATATACCGCAAGTGAACTGCTCGATGCAGGCGAAAATGTCAGCTGGTAGTGCGTCAAATGATGCACCGAGTGATGCCATAGCCTTTCGAGCCAGCTCGCCTTGTGGGGTTTGCTTGGTGATCAGCTGAAATGCTAGCTTCTTCCCTCTGCCACTGAAGGCACTGGTTGTGTCACAACCTGTATAGGCATGCATCCCCACCATGGCTTCGCAAACAGGGGCACTAAGCTCTCGTGTAATTCCTGTAGCATTGTTTATGGTAGTTAACCTCGCGCGCAAATATTCCAGAGACGGATTGACCAATTCCAACTTGGACCTTTTCGTCTTTTCTGACGTTTGCTGCGCGTAACAGCTTCGCTGCAGTGTGTGCGTATTCACACCCGCTTGTGGACTGGACTACATTCTTCCGGCCAGGTTGCTGGCGCCTCTCCTTCCCACAAAATATGCAGCCCTTCATGCCTGGAGCTACGACGGGCGCGGCTAGTGCAGCGCTCGTTCTGGGGCGGCGCTTGGCTTCTGGCTCCATCAACTCCGGCACAGACAGTTCTTCCGAATGGCTAAATGAGGGGTACTCTGCCTTCGTCGGAGGGTTATTATTCGTTATTTTCTGGTAACATTTTCTGTGGAAGCCTCCGTTTTCAGGCCAAACATCACTACGACATAACTCCCTGAGCTCAGCTAAATGTTCTACGGCAACAGCTTCACTAGTGCATATTTCACACACCTTCTTCCACGTTGTCTGGGTGAAGGGCTTCACCTCCTCACCGCACTCCGGAACGTGAATGAGACACTTTAAACTCATCACGACGCTTACTTCTAGTGCTCCTTGACCACAGACATACTAGTACAAACTGAAACCAAAAAACCAATCTCGAAATGAAAGTTCAAACTGAGAAGGAAGATGCCAAGTATAGTGGGTGCATGCCTGCACTGTGGGTGCATGCCTGCAGGGAGTGTGCAGTGCACTAGATCGTACCATATCACGACTTGACATGACAATAATAATAATAATAATAATAATAAATATAAAACAGGTCGCGTAATGAAGCAGCATAACGATAGATATGCAAAGTCATGATTGGTGCGTGTTTGTGGCCGTGATGCCGAGATCTCAGGTCGGCAGAGTCATCAATGCCCCACCATCACTGCTGTGTCTCGCTGCAGCCCCTGCTCAATAGTTGTCACGTTCGTCCTAGTCTCAGTATCATTGTCTTTCTTTATTATTTTCGAGCTGGGAATGTGAACATAGTAAAAAAAAAAAATGATGCCTGGTCCGCTTCTGTCCTGAGTTCACTACCCCGTGCGTTGCAGCCGCGAGCAAAACCAGCTCAGGCTGAGAGTTCCCTCCATGATTGCTTGTCTAAAGCGTGCATTCTGAGCCCACTCAGATCAGTCATGGTCTTCAGTGGCATGTCTCTGGCAGCTGTGATTGCCTTGACTGCCGTGGCCAGGTTCGATTTCGGGCATCCACGCACACCGGTGACATCTCGACGGAAGTAGTTGTCCATTGCCTGCTGTGGCGGGGCATCTGAGGGCATCCTCGGAACATGACCCAACATCCGGAAACGGCGGACAGCAACGGTGTGCGAAAGTGGCTGTGTGTGTGCTCTGGAATATAGGTCTTTGTTGGAGATGATGGCAGGATACCTAATTCCGAACAAGTTCCGTAGTTGACGTCTATGGAAGGCGTTCAGCTTCTCCAGTGCAGCCTCTGTCAGTCCCCAGGTTTCGCAGTTGTATAACATTGTTGGTAGGACGATGGCATTGTAGAGACGAAGCCTGGTTTCCTCGGATACAAGTCGACGTTGTATCCAGAGCGAATACATGCGGCCATACGATGTTGATGCTTGGTCCATTCGTCGGCTCAAGTCCTCCTCTTCCCCCAAGAGAGAGCCAAGTTGCTTCGATCTTCGCCATTCGGTGGTGGAGGCAGAGATGTGAAGCCACTCTGTTTTGCTGCTGTTAACGTTGAGTGACCAGTCACCCAGGCCGTCAGCTATCACGGGTAGGGAGACATGACAGGTAACATTAAATTCGTGTACTTTCGTCTATTCTGGTGCATAATCACATTTCACAGCACCACACACACAGCGTGCGTGCAGGCATTGTACAGCGCAACACATCGGGATCGTCGACTGTGCAGTGCACGTGTACTTACCGCACGTAAGTGCGGCCTACAAGTGCTTGTAGTACAATGCGCATGCATGAATGCATACAAAACAATGGCTGCCCAGAGAGAAATTTTCAACATGGAAAAGCCCATTTTTGGATACCTTTCAGAAAGTTGTCAGAGTGACAACAACCGCAATCCTGCTCAGTAAGGTATCTAGATTAGACGTGGCCAATAAAATTGCGGTGCCCAAAAGTCGGAACGAGATTTTTCTAGGAGGCCTTTTTCAGGTTTGGCCCACTGAGTCGCAGCAGACTAGGAGGGTGGCTTGGCATCAGGATCCACATCAATTTCGTGATCGGTTCTCCAACTCGGCGGCAGGTCCATTGGTAGTTCCTGCGGAAAACAGCTGCCGTGCTTGTTGAGAATCTGCTCGAGTTCGGCACGCCGCTCGTTGTCCACCATTATTTTCATTTCCTTATTGTCACCTTCGCCGCCGTCCCTTTCAATTTTCACAATTACACATTCCGCTCCCTTCTTCAGTGCTTTCCGAGCCTGTTTGATACTCATGAATTCCGCAGGGTAGGCTTCATCCGTCTCCGCTGAGGGGGGTTTGTCGGGTATGTCAGACACGCACGTCACTGTCACATCACGACCTCTCTCCCGATCGGACAGCGTGACACGGTTATTGGCGAAGTCCACTTGCGGGTTAGTACGAGACAGCCACGGCTTGCCCAGTACTACGTCGTATCCCTCCAAGGGTATAACTGTCAGCTGCTCCCAGGATTCGTGGTCTCCGATTTCCAATCTAAGCCGTGGCGTCACAGTCTCACTGAGCAGCTCTCTTCGATCATCAGCCATGGTCAGGGAGATTTGATTCTCGCTCTAAGACGTGGTAATACAAGCTTCAGCTATCCACCGATCCGAAGCGAAATTGTGCGTCGCACCAGAATCAATGAGGCACCTCGCTGAATGTCCTCCGATGCGCGCTTCGGTAACGAGGAGATCATGTTCATGATCGGACCGGGCTTCAGCTTTCTCCACTTCGAGCACTCCAAGCTCCGCCAGCGGTCGTGCTCCTATGCTCGCTGGCGGCTGGCGTTTTGGGTGAACATGGTGAAGCCGTCCACAATTCCGTGCTATATGACCAACTTCCTTGCAAGGGAAGCATCGATTTTCCCGTACCAAACGCATTCGCTCTGCAGGAGGTAAGTGAAACCGATGCAGCGCCGGTTGCGTGCCTTCTCGCTGCGTAGATTCGTGCACTTCACGCAGGTCGTAGTCCTCAGGAGCGTTCAGGACCCTGGGCGACTTTCCACGCAGACCACTGGGAAAATCACATACAGTGCGCGCGTGCCACACTGCGTCAGCCAAGGTCTCCGCGTGGTGCTGCCTCACCTCCTTTTGAACAAGCGGGTCAGCCAGGCCCTCCTTGAAAAGTAACGCCTTGGCCAGCTCATCCAGTCCAGAGGCCGACAGACAAAGCAAGGTATACTCCGCAATGTAGTCTTCCAAGCTACCTGTTTGCCGTGCTCGTACTACCACTAGCCGTCTTCTCTCCTCTTCATGTTTCTCTTCAAATGCGCCCTTGAGCTGCAGTTTCAACTGTTTCCAAGTCGTTGATCTCCCGTCTTCCTCCCACAATGTCATCAACCAACGGCGGGTGCTGCCATCCAGGAACGATGCCACATACCCCACTGGATGGGCAGGCTGCTGGCTTCTTAGCGCTTCTTCCACATGAGAGAGGGGTGTGAAATGCATGCAATGAATTGATAGGTAAAGGTGAGAACTATCACACTCATCGTCATTCAAAATAAATCTTGCCAAAAACAGCGACTGATTTGAACCACACAGGCAGTCGTGCTGCCCATGCTAAGTCCTATACAGAAGGCGACCATCACGGTCGACTTCCCTTACGAAAAAAGCCAGCCAGCGGAGAGTAAGAGAGATGAGCTTGCGAAAGCAAGAGTATCGATCCCGAGCAAAAAATATTTGTCACCAGCGACAAGGACTTTTGAAGGAGGACCAAAAAAGTATGAACCCTTTCTTGGACAATTAATTCCTCATGGACAGTTGTCATTCTGTAGCTCACCTTCCATCATACGTAGTTTTATCGTCTCAAGTGCACGCGTTGAGGTCCAAAATCTAAGTTCAAATTGCGAAAGATAAGCGACAATATTGCTGACGCGGACCAAGTACGTTTCATAGCCCCTTCACTGCTTAGAAAGCTGTATAAATAGACATTGCTGTGCATGATCACATTCTGAGAATATGAACATGCAATGAGTTTAAGAGCCAATGTCTGTAACGACCAAATATCACCGGACATGGCCAAATTTCCCCATTTCGCTCAAAGTTGACTCTTTTATCCCTAGGTGGACCTCATTCACCCACTATGAAAGTTTGCTCCAGAAACCCTCTGTTCTTTAGATATTGACCAATATCAAAAATCGATAAAACTATTAACTGAAACGCCTTCAAACAAGATAGAAGAGCAAAGGGTGACTGCTGCTCACAACAACACAGCGCAGCCAAACCAGGTATGTTCGCACACCGATCCAAGTTACTTAGTACTGTTTAGCCATCCAACTTTTGACTGGCGACTTCCTGAGTCCCTCAAACGAATCGATTGATTCAGCCTGTCCAATGGGGGCCCTTACGAAGGTCATCTTCAGGGACCAGTAGCAGCGGGGTTACGTCCTGAAATTGGGGATAGACCACCATCATAGTCTGCTACAACATGCCCCAAGCGCCCCCAAGTGGTCCTGAATAAAGCTATCCACTAAAAATCATTTGGGGAAATATTCAAATTTTGAACTCTCCAACGGCCATGCACGAGCCAAATCCAACCTCGTTACAGAAAAGCACACACGGAGGGTCTCAATAATACATCTGCGCTACGGTACCAGCATGGAGACATCATGGAAATAATCCCTGCCCTCGCAGAAACTCGAATGAAGGCGCCACAAAGCGTCACTTACTGAACAACAGCCTACATTGACTACTCCAGAGCAACAAATAGGCAAGGGTTGCAACGGTAGTGCACGGTGGCCAAGGTTGGGCCAGAATGTTCTCTTGTGCTGCGCAGCAAGTGCACGCGAGTTTCACATGCGGAGGCCTGGCACGCGGCCATCAAAAAATTCTAATTCATTGAGGTTAGGAGTATGTCCATACCCGAAGCCTGCACTGATGCAGGTTCCCTTAGAAACAAATCTACTGGGCTCTCCGACTTTCTCGCGACCAGCTGTACACTTATTGTTTGCATCGCTTTAACCTTTACTTTATTTATCTATTTCACTGATTCACTCAACGCCTGGTCCATGACCCATTGGCACACAAAGTGCGAGAGAGAGACAGACAGACAGACTGACAGACAGAGAGACAGAGACAGAGACAGAGACACACACAGAGAGAGAGAGAGAGAGAGAGAGAGAGAGAGAGAGAGAGAGAGAGAGAGAGAGAGAGAGAGAGAGAGAGAGAGAGAGAGAGAGAGAGAGAGAGAGAGAGAGAGAGAGAGAGAGAGAGAAGGAGAGAGAGAGAGAGAGAAAGTGCGCATTGGCCCCACCTACAGTGTTGCTGCTAAGTGCTCATCTGGTGTACCTCAGGGCTCGGTCCTAGGTCCGATCCTGTTTAGCATGTACACCCGTGATGTCCCTGCCATAGCCCATCCTGCTCCATCTCTGCAATTTGCCGATGACATTGCAGTGCACTGCCACAGAAAATCAGTGCTAGCCACATCAGCCTGCCTGTCAGGGGCCGTCACCAACGTCGCTGACTGGCTCAAGCATCGACATCTGCTACTAAATGACAAGAAGAGCCAGGTCCTGTCAATTGTACCACAACGCAATGCGGGTCAGCATGTCGCTGTCCGCTGCAACCAGACAGAGCTTCCCCTGAGCCCAACAGCAAGGTACCTCGGCGTGACCCTTGACGCCGCTGTGAAGTGGGACCCCCATGTTGACGCGATGGCGAAGAAAGTTGTGCAGAAGATTGGAGCATTGTGGCGGTCCCACAGATGTCTGAGCCTCAGTAGTCGCATCCAGTATGTGAGGTCAGTCATCATGCCTGACCTCCTATATGGGTCTAACGCCTTCTCTTCCTCCCTCAAGGTTTCGCAGCTTGATCGCCTTCAGGTCCTGCAGAACCGAGCGGCGAGAGCGGTATACGGTTTGCCGCCTCACACCTCGGCTCAGCCTCTGCTCGAACGGATGTCCCTGTACAGAGTTCGGGAGTGCTACGCCCAGAAGCGGCTCGTCCTGGTGTGGCGCTGTGTCAATGGGAAAGCCAGCAGTGTCCTCCAGGACCTATTCTCACCATCAGCTGGCAGCACCACCCGGCACCAGGTTTCCAGGGGCCTCACTGTCCCCTCGGCACAGTCAGAAGCCGGCAGATCTCGCCTGGCCTTTCAGGCAGCCTTGGCCTGGAACGCTCTCCCAAGGAGTGTAAGGGAGATCAAGGCTGCCCAGCAATTTAAGCTTGCCTCCATCCCCTACACCTTGCAATGAATGCTCTGTCTGACTTTTCCCGTCCACACACCACGTCATTTACTCTTCTCTGCGTGCTTGTGCGCTTATGAACTCTTTGTGTTCCCTCTGTTGACGCTTCAAAATCGCTCTATTGACACTGCAAAATCGCTCTGTTGACGCTACAAAATTGCTCTGCGTGCTTGTGCGCTTATGAACTCTTTGTGTTCCCTCTGTTGACGCTTCAAAATCGCTCTATTGACACTGCAAAATCGCTC